GGAAGGCGCCTCCCCTAGAGCTGTTGGGGGCAACGGCCCGGGAGGAGATGGGGAGCGTTTGAGGAGAAGAGCCCGTGTCAAAGTGCTCGTTTTAGCTCCTTGGGGGGCTGCGGGAGGGGATTCTGTGAGCCGTCCGCTGCCTGCAGATTTACGACGCTTTGAAATCGCGTTTAGTAACTTGGTTATTTGGAAGTTTGTTGGGCAGAGTGGCAGAAGCTGCGGTGGGGTCCCTCGCTTGGTTTTAAACACCGAACTGTCAGGTTTTGCAGAAGCAGGCCCTAAACCACCAGCTGAAGAGTGCCAATAGATTTTTATTTTACTCCCCTTCCTTTTAAACACAGTGTTCATGGCCTGATCCTGCAGACCCAGAGTAATGCTTCACACAGGTCAATGCCATCTCCAGTTTATTGGCTTTATTCACGTGCATAAAATTACAGAACATGAATTTTGGCTGGATTGAAGTATGATGTAATCTTTGGCCAACAAAAATATAGTAGTAGCAGCATTTTAAAATGGTAGTAAGTTCCCCTATTTGGATATTGTTTAAGTTCATGCAGTTTATTCTAATATAATCTCGATTTTAAAGGCTGAAGAATTTGAGGTTTGTGCAAATATGAAGAACTTCTTGCAGTGCAAACCCAAGTTCGCTTTAACCTTTTTGTATCCCCAGTGAAACTGGCTGTGTATATATGCTAAGCTTTGGAAAAAATAATTTCAAAGAGGAAGCTGGAAGTGTTTGAGTTATTGAAAAAGAATTATAACAAAATTCCCAATATTTCAATAATATTATTTGACAGTGACAATTATTGTGCCAAATTCAGCTTCAAAGCATTCTCCAAAGTCATTACTCTCGCGTTACACCGGTCCAGAGAAGTAGATTTAACACTATTTGACCAATGCAAAGACTGACAGAGAAGTGAAAAACTGGCCAGGAAGAAAACAGTTATCAGAGGAAAGAAATAAAACCTCATTTTGGTGGTCTCACTGTTAGGTTACAGTTTGTTGGCTATATTTCTTTTCTCACCTAGACCAGATGGTCCAGGGTCTTTTAAATGCTTCTTACAAAATGGACTAACCTGGTTCTGCTCACTTACCCAGACAGGATAATCTTGTTAATCCCATAATGGCCCTCAGTTTTGAGCATGCTTTTGATTAGACTTGTCTGAACAAATGCTTACCATTTTATGGCTGCATGTAAATGTACTCTCTGCTTCCTTCCCACCATTGTTTTGTTTCTTCTTTGGCCTACTACTGTTACTATTTCTGTGAAATTATGCAGCACTTCTAAGATCTCTGTACAAGCTACTGTTGGTCTCCTCTTCAGCCTCTTTTGCTGTTCTGATTTGCACTGAAGCAACTTCAGATTTTACTAAGGCATCCAGGTTCACTGCAGGCTAGAAAATCTGCATGTGAATGAAAGGAAGTAATTTAATATGGCACACAGAAAGTTGCCCTGTGGAGACAGGGTGCAAAGCCAGCATGCCTGCTTTCAGAACAAAGACAGGCAGTATCTCTCAGAAAGACAATCTTTGCTTCATGCAGGCAATTGCTCAGTACAATCTATTGTAGTTTTGTGTTGGGTTTTTTGGTTTTTTGTTTGTTTTTCATTGAACTAGCTACCTCTTCCTTCAACTGTGACTTTTTATATCTTACTCTAGGAGACAAAATATCAAGAATCTGGACCAGAAAAAAAATCCCACCATGCAACCAAACTGCAGTCACCTCCATAACATCCAATGGAGTGGTGATGACTCTTCCTCTTCTCAGAGCACCCACACAGTGCGGTTGTCAGGAGAGAGTGCATACCACCATAGCGGAGATGTTCACATACAGCTAAACTCTGCTGTGGGAGAAGCCAGAGAAGACTCGAGTTCCCTGCATTCAAGGCCAGGTTCCCAAATGCACTCACACAGACATGCCCACAGTGAAGCAGGGGTACTCGACGATTCCCCTCCAGACTCAGAGGAACACAGCAGCAGCTCCCTCTCAGAGCTCAGATACCTCCTCCAGTGGCTGTACAAAAGTCTGCCGTATATCTCAATTCTGTGTGTCAAATTGATCATGCAGCATATAACTGGTAGAGTATAATAAAATAATTGGTAGAGTTTAACAAAATAAGGTCTGAGGGAACAGACCCTCCCCCAAAGAGATATACTAGTAACCATGCCTGAAATATAATTCAATTTATTTTTAGCTTTATTTTTATTTGCTTTATTCATCTGAAGGAGAGATTTACTAAACTACATTTCAGTGGCTTCTGTTTCCTTTGCTGGCACACATACAATGTGCTTAATTATTCTGGCTTCATAGTCCAAGCTATTAATTGTAATTACAAAGACATATTAGCAGTGGCTGGTTTTTTAACCTAGTTTGTTTGTTTTTTTGTTTTCTTGTGTATAACTGACCCTTCTTTCCTAATAGGCATTTCTCTTGGAATTGGGCTGCTAACAACTTATATGTATGCAAACAAAAGCATAGTAGATCAGGTTTACCTAAGAGTAAGTATCACCATATGCAGCAAAATTGTGTAAGTTAACCAAGACCTTTATCCATCAATTTATGAAAGAAATGTGAACGGAGATACTGTTCTATTTACCTAGCAATATTAGGTACCAGTGCTTCAAGATGGAAGTCTTAATGCTTCTATACAGTGTAGAGCTTCTCAGATAAGTAAGGTTTGTGAAATTCAAAAAGTGTGGGTGTGTCTTCCCTCCCCAGCCCCCCTGACTTTGAATATTGAAATCACTTAAACTGATAAAAGCTTTTAGGGAAGAACTTCTTAACTGCTATTTGATTCCACAAATACAGTTGACAGTTTAAACGTTCAGCTGTCTGTTCACTCCCAAAGGAAAATTTGTTGTTTCTTCAGAATGGGGTGGGTTTTGGGTGTGGTCTTTAGAAAACAATTTCTATGTGTATCAAGATTTTTATGTTGAAAACATTAAAATTACTGCTTTACCTTTCCGTAGAGTTCTCCTGCTTTATTTGTACTGAAACCACTAAGATAAAATCCTTTAGCAGTAACTCTGTTTGGGTGCAACAGACTTGTGCTTTAGCAATATCTTTAAGACATTGATACTGAGATAAGGACTGTAATATATCTTTACAATTATTTTACAGGAACGGTGCTCCAAGTTGCAATGTACTTGGTTACTGGTATACCTAACTGGGTCATCTCTCCTCTTGTATTACACCTTCCATTCTCAGTCACTGTATTACAGGTAAGTAGAGGAACATCTTGACTCACATCATAAATTACTCAAAATTAAATATTAACTGGGAACATGCTATCTGGGCTGCTGCTGTTCTTTAATTGTGGCATTGGTTTCTCTTTCATTTTAATCTCCATTCCTCCTCTTCTGCCAAAGTGAACAGGTGCTGTCCTTAAAAACAGTATGTTGGAATTTGCAAGATTAGACCCCACACTGAACTTAATGGTACTGCTGTCCTGTCGGGAATGTAGCTGGGTTTGATTCCTAGCTTTGACCCTACCACCTTGCCTTCAGAATATTGTATATGGCATTCTGGGGCTCTATGGAGTTTATGTCTCTCATTTATTTTTTTTCCCCTTACCATTCTGTAGATACAGTCTTGTCTGTACATCAGTCACAGGCTGCATTGCTAAAATGGGAAAGAAAGCCTGTCTCTAGCGGATGGGGGTTGTGATGAACATACAGGAAAGAAGGTTCAAAAAGGGAAAGGTTGTCAGAGATTATAAATGATCAATTTACAATAAAGAGTTCATTTTCTTAGCAAATTTTTTCCTCTGTGTACACCAGGTTTCCTTTTTCAATTAAATCTGCTATGATAATTTCTAGTTATGCCTTCCTCTACATAGTGTGCTCTGGTAACTTCTGATAACTTCTTTTTGTAGCTTAATCTTCTTAAACCCTACTATGGATTTTACGAACTTCTGGGAGGTACTTTGGACTGTGGGAGTCACCGACTTTATTCTGAAATTCTTCTTCATGGGCTGCAAGTGCTTTATTCTCTTGGTGCCTTCTTTTATGATGTCCTTTATATCCAAGGTAAGGAAACAACTGTATTTTTGCTTCCTTATGAAGATCCATTTACAGTAAAATTAGCTAATTATTAAACTCTACCCAGAGAAAAATCTTTTTAATTAAAGGTCTGTATATAATCCACCACTACACTGTGGGTAGGAAAACCCTGTGGATTTCATGTTCTTCCCTGCTTGGTGGTAAGGATGGTTTACAGTCCGATCTGAAACAATTGCTTGTATTATGTCATTGGATAAATGGGTTTATTTCTGCCTCTAAGTGAGAGGGATGAAGAAACCTTTTATTTACTGCCATGTAAGAATGTGTATTCAGGCAGTTATCACGGAGCAACTGATGCACAGTAAATTTTTTATGTGCTCAACAGTAACTCACATGGGAAGACTTTAAAGATCTGCACATGCAAACAGCTGTTTTTTCTGTCTCTTTAAAAAGTAATTCAGAATTTTCTTTTTATTAATAAACTTAAGCAATATTTGTGCCAGATCAGTGACTTCAATTCATAGTTTAGTTCCTCACACCAGGGAAGTTTAATAATTTTCATAGAAGCCTACACTGGTTCGTGGGGTATTTATCTTTATCTGCTTCCTGAGGCGAGATAGGGAAAACCAATTATGTTTTATGTCAAAATAGTACATACTAGTACTGGTTCAAGAAAAAAAAAAAACTATAAAAAATTAACAAGTACAGTTCATATGTGGTAGCATTTGAACAGGATGTTTTGGTAGCTTTTATCTCTTAAAATGTACCAGAACAAGTTTTTCTTGGGTACAACTCATATCTCTAAATACTGGTTTACAAGCAAGACCTCTTTTTTTTTTTTCTACAGCTAGTGATTCAACATCCAAAAAAATAGTTACTGAAAGTTCCATTACACCAACTGTGACCTAAACCATGGCTAAATTAAAACAGGAATCTGATCAATAGTGACAAATTGTGGTATTATCCAGTGTACATTATAGAAAGAGTACTTCTTCCCTGTTATAAATACAGTTTTAAAGACAAACTTAAGGAAATAAAGTAAGACCTAAGCTAAGTATCTTTGATTACGCGCACACACACTGCTCTGTGCAGGATGCTTGTGCTTGTTATTCAGTAATTTTTAGGGTGTCACTGAACTGTTTACCTGTTCAGTCCAGCTACCCTACGCTTCTTACCTGGCCCCCAATTTTCTTATCACCCCATCTATACAGGAGTTAATTATCACAGGATAAGGCTCATTACACAGGCATGAATAATGCTTACAGAAAAACTGTTTGCAGTTTATATTTGCTAATAAAAGAATGGGCCTCACTCCCATTTTTTTAATCCTGAATGCAGGACACAACTCTGCTAATGACAAGCTGACCTACGTGACCAAATCTGTCTAATTTTCCTTTTTCATGTAACTTTTATTTTCTTTTTTAATGCTTACAAAATTAAGTCTGATAGCATTGTTAAGTAGGCAGGTGTCTGACAAAGCCACCCGATTTTAGACTATTAATTTGATTTTCTGCAGTACAGCAGTCATGTTAGTTGTGGTGAGAATCATCATCTGGTTTTCATTCTTTTTCATGCTTCATATTTAGTTGTTTCAAGATATTATGAGAGGAAGTTACTCAAAAGAATAACAATGCATCTTTTCTTTATGTTTGAAGAATCCTTTGTGTTTAAAATCTTGAGCAATTCCTTTACATGTCTTGCTTAGGGCTACTGGTACATGCTGTTAGAAGAACTCTGCCAGTATTACCGTATGTTTGTCCCCATACCAGTTTGGTTCCGTTATCTTATTGGCTATGGGGAGCTGGACAGTGGCCTAGGATGGACCCTTGGGATATTGCTGGGCCTTCTCTACCTCATCCTAAAAGTATGTAAGCTTCATATTCCTCTCAAACTATTTTGCAGTAATTATCACTGGAGGGTTAGAGGCACATTTCTGAACATTCCGTGATGTTTGAACTGACTTGCAAGTTGATGCTTCAGTTTAACTGATGCAGCCTTCCAAAACTGATAGGAAAACTAGCTCAGGACACTGAATCTTCTTTTTTCCTGCATCTGTTGTGGGACTGGATTGGAGTTAAATAGCAAAGAGCACTGTTACCATGGGTCCCCTCACATCAGACACCGATCAGACTGTTACCAGATATTGAGGAAGAGAGCTGGCAAAAATAAAGGTAAAACTCATGGCTAAAAGAATCAGCATTTCCAGGAAACTAGATTTTTCTCTCTACTGGTGTGATGCTAAACAAGTTAAACAGAGGTGTTCGTACTGGCTGTCTACTTCACCAAAGAGCTAATCTGCCTCAAGTGTAACCAAATTCAGTACAAGTTCAGCTTTGAACATGAAAAATACTTTATAATGCTAAGGTATCTTAATTACAAGTGTAAGGACTATTGCATATGTGATAATAATGCTGGCATATTTGCACTTGAGTGCTTCATTTTGCAATCTCAACACTTTTTATTTTAAAGAACAGTCACCTATGAGGAAAAAAACCTTTAGGCTAAATTCTTAGTTTGGTTACATATTAAGCAACTAAAAATAGGGTCGTTTTGAACTATAGCTTTGCATATGTTCCTGCCAACATCATACAGTGAGACTTTTACTTTTGGAATGTACACAAAAGCTTGGAAGCTTTTTAGTTCATACAGAAAAATATTAAGCGTAACTTGGGTTTTCTTTCTCATTTCAGCTTTTGAGGTTTTTTGGACAATTGAGAAACTTCAGACAGGTCTTACGGATATTTTGTACACGACCAGTAAGTACCACATTCTATTATGACAAAACAATAAACCCATTTTACATGAAAATACTTTTTACATACCTCATTCCTATTACTTTGTATTGTTCTAGTAATAGACAACTGCATTTTTAAAGTAAACCCTGTATAATTTTCTACTCTTTCACAGTCTGAATGTCTTGACTACATGATTATGGTGTCAGCTGAACAAGAAAAAAAATCACACCAAAAAAAATCTATTCTGCATGTCTCTTCAGATAAACATACGTGAAATAACATGTCCTTTTGTCCTACTTCCTACTTTTTAATTGGAATAAGTATTGGTTGGACGTAGAAAAAGCTTTATGCTGAAATATAGTGAGAACTGAAGCTTGCCAAAATAATTGACATGCAAGTGATTTCTGTTAGAATTGTACATTTCTAGATAATCTTTCTCTGTAGTAAGAGGGATTGGTATTTGTGTATTTTGTTTTATTTTTTTTCTTCCCCCTAATATCTGCTGAAAATATCTTGCTTTACAGCACTATGGAGTGCCAGCTAGCAAGAGACAGTGTTCTGAATCGGATAATATTTGTTCAATCTGCCAAGCTGAATTTCAGAAGCCTATTCTGCTTATCTGTCAGGTAATACACATAATCAGAACTATTTTTCACAAATTTAAGAATATTTTAAACAACTGGTAAACAAAACAACATAGATTAGTGGTTATTCTTAGAAATCAGGCTATGCAAATAATATACCATCTTATAAATGGAAGAGCTTAGAAGCTCTAAGTTCTCATTCTTTTCATTACAGCACACATTTTGTGAAGAATGCATCTCTTTATGGTTTAATAGAGAAAAAACGTGTCCACTCTGCAAAACTGTTATTTTAGACCATGTTAACAAGTGGAAGGATGGAGCTACATCTATGCATCTACAGATTTTCTAAAGCATGTCAAACAACTTGGTTTACACTTTGTTTGTTCAAGTTAAGGTTTTTCAGTTTACTGCAGACTAAATTGTAGGTGGCACAAGAAACGAGTTTCCAAATTCTAGGTATCAAGCTTTTATGAAATGTTGCAATATTTAAAACAGTGCAGAAAATGTTAACTTGACCTTAAGTCTAGAAAAGTAAGTTTTCAGAATGAATGCAGAAAAGCCAACATTGCTTCTCTTGTCATTCCTGTAGGAAACAATCAAATCTTTGAAAAATGCTGCCTTATTTCTTGCAGCAGCTTCTTAATTCAATGTTTTCTTTAAAAGTTTAAATAGAGTTCCAGAGTTCACTAAGTTGCATTTATCCTTCTAACATGACTCAACCCAAAAGGTCAACCTACCAATTTTATTAAGACAATGAGAAAATCTTATACTCTGGACTACAGTGAGAATTAGAGCTACTTGTCACACTTGGCATTAAAGATCCTTTAATGTGTGCCCAACAGATGACAGAAATTAGCTTCTTATTCATGCAGCTGTAACAGTAACTATTTCTCACTGTGCCTGGAGATAAGCCACAAGAATAAGACATTTCCCCTTTAGGTTCTTGTAGACTTCTAAGAAATCTTTGACTTAATAGATAAACCAACCACTGATGTTAGTTTTTTACTTAGCATTTTATAAAGTTGGTATTTTTAAAACAAATCTTTAATACTATATTTTTGTCATAACAGGAACCAGATTTTCTTACAGGGGAGAATCTATTTTATACTATATTTGCAATTTGTAGTATGCATAAGAGTCAGAGAGAATAAATGCATTTAAATCTATTTGTTTGGTGCATGTTGAATAAAGAAACAAGATTCATTACTGTTTCAGTATTAACTTACATGAAAGCACAAACAACAGCTCACTGCTAGGTGTACTTTTCCTGTTAAAGTGATGTCTCTGAAAACCAAAAAACCTCCAAATGCTGCAAGTTATTAATGACTAGCCTATGCTAATTATAGAGCTAACTTACATACAATCTCACCTTTTTTTCCTGCTTGTCTTTTTTCACCTTGCTCTTCAGATAAGACTAAAAAAACCCACTCAAATTATTCTCTTACAGGAAAGTTAAATTGAGTTGCCATTAACTTGAGCTTTTCTTAACTGAATACTTTTAGGAAACTTCTAAATTAGGTAAAAAACAGAATTAAAAAGTTAAACACTTACTTGATGAATGATGTAGTAACTCAAATGGCCAGACAGAGTGACTGAGTACTATGATTTGCAGCTGACACAGACACATTTATAGGGCAGACAGGGCATGATGGGAGAGTGCCCTTAAAGGCACAGCTAAAGGTATTCAGAATTTAGTATTCTGAATAAAAATCTAGTAAGATGGAAGATTCAAGCTAGCAGGTATAATTTTATTTTCAACCTGGGTTTTGCTATAGCATGCTGTGTATTTCCTAATTGTATTTTTGTTTGAAGCTTACTGCTGTTCGGAGTAAATGTGCCCTATGATTGTTCCACCATGGCATCTAAGTGACTGGGGAAAAAGACTCCAGCTTAAAGAAAACGGGCAAAAGCTTCTAAGTCTGTAGTTGGAAAGTTACGGGAGTGGAAGAGACTGGTTCTCAGGGAAGCTTTTCCCAGCCGGTGAGGTACTTAGATTGGAGAATGTGCAGCTGAATGGTGTTAGAGCAGGTCTGAGGGTGGCAGGGAGGAACTGGAGCTTGGCCACAGCCAGAGCTGTGCTGTACCTCCAGTATTGTCAGAACAACTGCTCTTTGTTTCCTCAGAGAGATTTTAGCTTGCATTTGAAGTTCATACAAGATCAGAACTGTTTGTTATTTAAATTTCATTGTGCTGATATTCAGACTGCTGCTGCAGCTGAACTTCCCTTGAGAGAACTGAATTAATTGGTCAAGTGAAAAAAAGAGCAAGGGGATCTTAAGGCTGGATTCTGACTCTCTGATGGGCCCACAGAGACTTTAGCAGGTGACTTGTTACACAATCATATTTGGACCTTCCCAAACTTAATCATGCACACTTCATACAGGTCTTGTGTGAGTAATGTGTAAACAAACTGAGTGTTGTATTTAGTCAACAAATAGCACCTTTAAAAAAAGCTTTGCTTGTGTGAGTAAAATGTGCAACTCAGCCCAATACACAGTTTATAAGAGCAGGTGTAATAATCAACCCTTTTTAAAATACTGGGCAAAAATTTGTAACTTATCCTGGATTAGCTTTTTCTGAAATGCTTAATCACTTTTTAATTCAGAAATATCCTCTCAGAGAAAATACAAACTAAAATTCATTACACTTGCACTTGCTATTAGAGCAAGGAAATGCACTTCCTAATACTTGAATATTGATTAAATTCATTGCCTGCCAGTAATGGGTAGCCATTCATCAGAATTCCAGTACTCTGTGACAGACTTTCAAAAATCTTTTTAGGGCAATAGGTCTAAATTACCTCATCCATTCCTGGAATATTAACTGGGAAGGTACAGATTCTGAGATGCACCAGCTGCTTAATACAAACGGTTGTCCCAAAAACAGAGCCCCTACCCTGCTGACTAAGGGAAAAGATCTGAGGAAGAAGTATGCTTTCTTACAGCCTTATCCCCAAGATGAGTAAATAGGAGCCCTGTTGCTTATGCAGCAGGAAATAGTGAGAGGGAAGCTTGCCGTTCCATCATAGAACAGAATAACAGGATCTGTGATTCCAACACAGTGCAAAACTTAAGTGGTCCGTCAGTGCTTGAAGTCAACCCTGGATTGTCGATGATCCTTTGGTCTTGTCTACCATATAGTAGTAACAACACCTTACTAGATAAGAGTGGATACTGGTCAGAGATAGGACCAGGGAACAATTTTGTCTTTTATTCTCTCTCTGTTGATGTTTTTTTTTTTCCCCTTTAAGATCCAGTGAAAGTTATCCAAACCCAGTAATGTTATCAAACATTTTATTAAAAACCAAAGAACTAAAAAGAGATTTTGATCAACCAGTTTAGATTTACACTTCATAAATGAAACAAGTCATTCTTATCTTAGTTAAAGAGAGGAGAACAAAGTAACTTACATCTGTGAATGACACTCTCTGATCCCCTTGTCAGCATCATGCTATTAAGATGCAACTCTTTCTTATCAAGCCCACTCAGGCCAGGGTGGCTGCCCTGCTTTCCACACACACAGACACACAGACACCCAGCACGTCTGACTCTGCAGGAGACAGAAGATGACAAATGGCAATCAAGAGCCACTTTTTAAGAGCCCAGGAACCTAGATGAAGGTTCCAGCCCTTGGTAAGACAGACCAATCGGAACTAGCATCTGCCAGGTCCTGTTAAGTTCTAAGAAGAATTCCTCCTCCCTCCCTTTCCCTTCAGAGCTGTCATGAGACAATGACTTAGATCCACAGTTATACTTGGGGCCTACCTGCTTCCTTAACAAAAAAAAAAAAAAGTAAGTCACTTGGATTAGCATGTTTAAATTTGCATTTAATTGCTATTCACATCCATCGTATTCAGCAGTTGAGTATATTTAGTTCCAGTAAACTGCGAAAGATGAAAAACAGAATAGGGATTACCTTTATTTCTACTCAGGCAGCTCAAGTCTGTTTCCTACAAACCCAAGTTAATCTAGAAGAGAACAATCTGTAGAAGTTCATATATAGGAACTGCATACAGTATATCATCAAGTATCTGCAGGAAGAATATTTAAGTAATTTGCCTTGTTCTTAATAACTTCTCCTCCTCCTCCTTTACCCCTTAGGGTAAAGGATTTCCCTCTAAGCTGGGAAAATTAAACAGCAACTACCCTGCTGTAGAGACAGAACTTGAAAAAAAAACCCAACCAATGTTTTTGATTAACAGTGAGAGCAGGTTGGGAGTTAATACTAAAAAGAGAATAGACCCAAAGTAAACATCCACTGTATAGTTAGAGTGGACTCTAATATTAAATGTTCTCCAGCAGTTCACCTTTTAAATAGCAAGACAAAAAAAAAGGGATATTGAAAAGAACAATTGACTCATTTATTTTTTATCTTTTATTAGGAGCTAATACCAGGATGACATTCAAATGTCAGATGGCACAATTAAGACAGTCTTGGTAGGAATTATTCCAGCATTCCCAAAATTACAATTTAGTACATGAATGGCATCAAATGTATGTATCACTCCCACAGAGAAAAATTATGAAATTCTGAGTATCTTATACCAGAATAGTTCCTGCATCAAATGGGAAAAGAAAAACTGCTGGTAACACAGCTGACCTATGAACCTTTTGTGATAATGACCTGCAGAACAAAATACTCCCCCTATTTAACATCTAGTAAAAAAAAATATTACTTTTGTTCAAGTTTAAGATTTAATACTTTTATATGGTTAGCCACAACAGGTATTAACCTCAGTTTTACTATATTTTTGTAATGCTACAAAAATCCTATAAAATCAAATTATAGTGAATTTTTCAGTGAATATAATTAAAAAAGCGCAGCTTGTACAAAATAAAAAAAATAAGATTCTATACTCTAATGAAAAATTTAAGACATTTTTAAATGAACAAAAGAAAGCACTTGTTAAGCTCTCCAATATTCAATGCATTCTGCACTTATCTGAAATAGCCAGACAGGAGCTAGAACTCCACTCCCTATAGTTAACAACTAGTAATTTTGACACTACTATATATATATAGAGGATCTATATATATAAGATCTATGTCTGATATTTTTACAAATAAATACAGGATAAACCATATTGCATAGTGTGTGCTTGCTGTCTGAGTCACACTCCAGAAGTTTCACAGTTATGGTAGGGAATTAAATTTATAATCTATGGGATGAAACATTGACAGTACATGAAATTTATTTTTAAAACCAATGAACTGTATCTGTAATTAATCAGTGAACTCAGACAAACAACTCTTGCCATTCTTGCCAGCCATATTAAACCAATTCTACTGGACAACTGTATCCAGCCAACCAAAAAGCAACTGTTTGCTGTAACTAGGACCAAGAGAGATC